CTGCAAGGCTGCAGGGTCATGTTGCAGTGAAATCTTGAGGGTCCATGGGACTTGTCCTGATCATGGAATCATGGAATCAGCCGGGTTGGAAAGGACATCTGAGAACATCAAGTCCAACCCTTGATCCACTACCACTGTGGTTCCCAGCCCATGGCACTGATGCCACATCCAGTCTCATCTTAAAAACCTCCAGGGACGGAGAGTCCACCACTTCCCTGGGCAGCCCATTCCAATGGCTGATCACCCTCTCTGGAAAGAAATTCTTCCTTATATCCAACCTAAACCTCCCCTGGCACAGCTGAAGACCCTGAGCCCTCTTGTCTTACTGATAGTTGCCTGGGAGAAGAGACCAACCCCCACCTGGCTACAACCTCCTGTCAGGGAGTTGTAGAGAGTGGGGAGGTCTCCCCTGAGCCTCCTCTTCTCCAGGCTGAGCCCCCCCAGCTCCCTCAGCCTCTCCTCACAGGACTTGTGCTCGAGTCCCTTCACCAGCCTTGTTGCTCTTGATGAATGGTCCCACCTGGGTGTTTCTCCTACAGATCATCTGGCAGCTCTCATCCCTCACGAGCTGCTGGAAGGATCCAGCCAGTCCCACCTGCTCCATGGATTGGTGACAGCAGGGGTGAAAACCTCCACAATGTTCTCCAACAGCTGATGCTTTCTGCAGCCTTGGGAAGGATTCCCTCACTTCACTGCATCTGTGAGTGAGTCCCACCAGACCTGGGCAATGCCCCGAGGCACCAAAGCAGAGCAGGCAGTGGGGACAGCCATGGAGATGGAAAGTGCACCAGAATTTGGATAATCATCACAGCCCAACCTGGGAACCAGCACAGCCCCAGGCCAGACCCCAAACATGCCCCACAGGGCTGAGACATCTCTCCCAGCTCAGGGATCTCCACCCCTTTGCATGAGCCCCAGGACACCCACATCTCCTACTGCCCAGCAGGGCAGATGCTTCTCATCCCTTTGGGATCTGCTGCTCCTTGTCCTGGTCTCCCAGGGCGAACACAGCTGATCCTGCAGCTGGAGAGCCCCATCTTCTCCAGCCACAGCCCCTGTTCTCAGAACCCCACCCTGACTGGATATCCTCTTGTATGTGGTGCAGCTGGGGATGGTGCCTGTGACAGCCCCTTCATCCATGGGCATGAGACTGATTCTTCCCACTTGGCTGCAGGCAGCAAATCCATGTGGAAGCAGCTGTGGGGCTGCATCCAAAAGCAGGACAATTTCCCCAAAATGTGAGAAACACCTTCCACTTCCAGAAATGTTGTGGGACAATTTGTTTTTCTCATCTTGGACACTCTGGGGAGATGTGAAATGTTTGCAGAAGGTGTCAAAGCTGAGGAGGGTCCTTGGAAAGCCAAGAGGCCCTTTATGAACAGCACATGCTCCTGCCCTGTGCCACTGGCACAGAGAAACGTCTTTACTAAACAAGGAGGAATTATCTACTTTGGGATAGTGGGAAGACATTATTGAAATGGAGCTGAGCCACCCACTGAAGACTTTAGGCTTTCCATGGTTTTGCCAAGTGACACATGAAACCTTCCTAATGTTGATCTTGTCGGCTCCTATAACCAGGAGGAAGATATTGGCTGTTCTGTGTCAGTGGGTGGCCACGGTTCAGCAGCGATGTCAGCTTGAGTATCCCAAAATCCAGGCTGCTTTTCAGCCTGAGGCAAAATATTCCACAGGAAAAATAAAAGACTATTCCAAATAATCCAAAATTTCCGGCCCAGGCAGGGACCCTGATACACTTTTTGGACATTTTCAGGGTATTTCCAGGCCCTCCCACCTGTCTCTGAGACACTTGATGCATCTCAGCATCCCCTTTTGGCTGGAATGAGCCACCCCCACTCCCAGAGCAGCCCAGTGACTCCTGCTCAGGGATGGTGGGTGACAGATGGGTGCTGGGATGTGCTGGTTGGTCCCTCTGCAGTTCCAGCAATGTGTGGTCCCTATTTTTGTTTCTTTCTGATGAGCTCCAACCCTCCCACTGGCTCCCATAGCCCCAGTCCACTGGTGGGTGGTGGTCACAGCCACACTCCTCAACCTCCCTGGGACACCCTCTCCAGGACACACCACCGGGACACCCCCCATTGCAATCCCTGCAATCCCTGCCTGGACCCCCTCAGCATCACAAGCTCCATGTTTTGACAACAGCATTTCTTCCTACACCCAAATCCCAAGAGGACTTCAGTGGAGGTGGCCAAGCCCCCCCCAGCAGTAGTGTGGACATCCTGGCCCTCTGCTCCCCTGGATTGTGAGCACACAGACATCACAGGGCTCTGGGAAGTTTTCCAGCCAGGCAGTGGGCAGGTGTTGGCTTCCAAACCAAAATCCAGTGATTTAAGAACTGTGGTTGAGGATGGTCAATGATGAAATAACTTTAGGATCATCTGAAGGAAGTCAGACACATGACCCAAAGCTAAAAAACCAGAACACTGCTTGCTACGGCTGTGATTTCCTTTTCTTTTCACTTTTGTGTGAGGAAAGACCACCCACAAAGTCAGGGATGGTCACAGGAGAAGTGAGGCAGTGCCAGCCTCTCCACAGGGCACACGGTGGTGGAGGAGGTACACATGGTCTCACCTAACAAAAGCATTGGCACCATCACCCCCACTGCCCTCCCTGGCACTTGGGGGGGGGTGTCCAGCCAGCCCCAAAAACTGACCCCAAACCCAGAGCTTGGATTTCATCAGGTGGAAAAAAAGGGCTCTGAAGCCCTCCTTCCTCTGCACTTACCCCACGGTGCCACAAGGAGGGTGCCTGTCCCTGCCCCCCTGGGTGCTGGCAGAGCCCCTGCCCCGGGCCGAGGCACAGGGCAGCCCCCAGCCCGGGCAGAGCAGCCCCAGCACCGGGGCACCCTCGGAGAAGTGCAGGGAGGGCTGATGGAGCGGGGGCACAGCGGGGCTGGGAGCAGAAAAGCCAGATTTTCAGGCTCCTGCCTTTGAACTCCCGCAGCTCCAGGGCACCTCGCTGCATTCTGGGGCTCTGCACTGAGCCCCAGCTCTGCTCGGGGGCCCTGGCACTGGGGTGCCCTGCCCTCATTGAAGCAGGAGCCCATGTGCTGGAGAGGCTGCGAGGCCACATACCTACCAACCCCGTGTTTTGCCTCAGTTTCCCCACCTCTGGAGGCATTAGAAATGCTTCCCATGGTCCTCTCCCTGCTTTTCAGGCTGGCTGGGAGTGTGCTGGCACCACATCCCTGGTGCTGGGGGACACACCAGCCCTGTCCCTGTCCCTGCTCTGCTCCCTGGCCGAGTCACTTGGCTATTTATTTGTTTTTCAGTCTCTGGGTGACCTTTTCTTCTGCATGAGTAATTCAGCCCTCACGGGCAGCAGGTGAAGCCGTCCCACCTCCCACCTCTGCTCTCAGCCCCAGCCTCAGCTCCCAGGGTCAGGAATCTGCCCAGAGAGGATGGATTGGGACGACGTGGGTGTCTGCACACAAAGAACTCCCAAACCTGGGGGGTCTGGGGAGCAGTGCAGGCCCTGGAGGATACGTGGTCCAGGCAGGGGCTCTGAGCCTGGCTTTGGGTCGGTCAGCAGAGCGATGGGGGGCTCAGGGTGGGGATGGAAAAGCTTGGCTTTCCTCATGCCTGGGCCCAAAATGCTGACATAGCAATTTGGCTTCTCTTCCTCTCCCTCTATTAACTGCCCACGTTTCTCCCCAGCTCAAGGGTACTGTGGTCTCTCTGCTGCCTCCCCCATCCATACACAGGGGATGTGCCACAGCCAGGGCTGGCACTTACAGCCACACACATCTTGACCATTTTCTCCCCCAGTTTGTTGCTGGCAGTTGGAAAACGGAAAATAGCTATTTATGGTGAGCAAGAGAGCAGAAAAGCCAAAAATGGGGAGTCACACTGCCCAAAACTGGCAACTTTGGAAACCCCCCTTGCACTGGGTTCTCCCCACCCCTGGTACCCTCCACAGCACAGGCTCGGGATGCTCACAGGGCTTTGAATGAGCCTCTCTGAATGCCCTGACTCAGGGAGCTGCAGATTTAAGAAAAACCCCAGGACAGGGATCCTTGCCGTGGAAATGCTGTGTGAGCACCAGCACCTCCCTGACAGCCCCATTTTCTTCCAAAATGTGTGTGGGGGCTGGTCCACACAAGGCTCCATCTCCTGTGGGTGGGGGACCAGGTCCCACCATCCCTGGAGCCCCCCATGTTCCTGCCATAGCAATGGGATGGTGCAAAGCTCCATCTGCACTGTGTTTGGGTCCAGCTTCATCTATGTGTCCCCCCAACTTATCCCCCCCAACTTCTCTCCACTCACAAGCCAGCAGGCTCTCAGCAAACACAGCTCTGAGAACCAGGTGGCCAAGGAGGCTTCCTTGGGTGGAAAAACACCTAAATGCCTGTTCCAGCACTGAGCCAGCACAAGCCTGGCCCTGCACGGTGAGCAGGCTCCAGCCACGCCACCATCCCTCCCCGAAGCCACCTTGGTTCTGCCCTGGCACGGGGACACGACCCCGTGGGCCCCATGGGGTCTGGCAGAGGTGGCTGGTGTGCAGGCTGGGGCCAGCAGCCACAGCCCGAGGGGACAGGACACTGCTCTCCCCGGTTCCCACGCGGCCGGGCAATCTCCGGCAGGATCTGCAGCGCCCGCAGCCGCGGGGCTCGGGCTGGGGCTCGGGCTGGGGCTCAGGCTGGGGCTCAGGCTCCGGCTTGCGGAGCTCGGTGGCTCCAGGCGCTGGTGTCTGCGCTGCCTGTCGGGGCAGGGCCGTCCCTTCCCCTGCCTGCAGAGCCGGAGCGCTGCTCCCGCGTCGCCTGCCCACAAACCACCGTGGGAATCCCTGGGGACACGGGAGCAGCGGGATGGGTGACCGGAGAGGCTCGGGGCAGCAGTGGGGGGGCTTTGGAGCCCGACGGTGGGATGCTGGTTTAGGGGGATGCCAACGATCGGCAAAGCTCTGTACAGGATTTGTGCTCTCCTGTACGCTGCAGGGTCCCACAAATCAAAGCAACACCAGGGTAAGAAGCAGAAGGTCCTGTTTGGGGACACTTTTGGTACAAGGAGTGGGGGTCCCCAGTGCCCTCCCAGCATTCCCCATCATCTCAAGGACATCCCAGGGTAAGACAAAGTCCAACCCCTTCTCAACATGGGGGCTCAGGGGGAGCTGTGTCCCCAGCCCCATCCATCTGTCCCAGTGTCACTGTCACACAGGCAGAGCTCCCTATTCCACTGCTTCCTTTGGGCACAGCCTCATCCATCCCCTGTCCCGCAGGAGAGGCCCGGGTGTCCCCACCAGTGCACCAAGGTCCTGCACATGTCAGCTGAAGGGTGGTGGGCCCCTGGACAAGGATGTCACCTCCTGCCATGTCCAGAGCCCCGGGTGGTAGCCGTGGCTGTGTCCTTTGCCCCTTCGTGCCAAGGGGATGTGGCTTGGCCCCTGCTGCCGTGCCAGGCCAGTCCCTGCAGTGCCTCTGTCCTGCCCCAGGGCAGGGGGAGCCAGTGCCCGCACTGGCCTCTCCGGGGCCACCGTCCTTGTCCTTGGGCTGCACAGCGGTGGCCTCACTTGCCCGCTGGGATCCCGTTCTCCCCACCTCCTGCCGAGCCGAGAGCCATCTCCATCCGACTCCTTGGATGCTGCGTGTCCATGGGCTGTCCCACTGGGGCTGTGTCGAACTGCACCACTGCAGAGAGAAGGCGCCTGTCACCCACCTGGCCAGTGGTGGGACATGGGGCAGGGCCCAGCCCTGAGGGGACTGGGGTGCAGAGCCAGCCACCATCCCCACCCCATCCCACGTGCAAGATGGCAAAGGGCCCCATGACCCTCAGGCCACTGCAGACAGAGGGAGGATGATAGAAGGTCCCTCTCCAGGGATGTGGGGGGATAAAAACCTATGGGGGCATCCCAGCCAGTGTGGGGGGACATGGGACTACCACCCTTGCAGACCACCCGAATCCATGGGACCTCCGTGATTCCCTTGGGGAAGCCAAACCCCTCAGAGATGGGACCTGGTGGCCAGGGACCTCCTCCCCCAGTGGGTCCTGCACCCCAACCCGCGGTGCAGTGATGTGTCTGGTACCTGCTCTGCAGCTGTGCCGGGCGCGGACGACCTGGATCGCCTGCTGGTTCTTGAAGCGGACGAGGCCCATGGTGATCTCGGCGTTCCAGCCCGGGTCCTCCTGGGCGCAGCGGAAGTCGATCTCGTGGCTGTCGTCCATCACCACTGTGAAGTAGATGTGCCGCTCCTTCCACTCCACGCACTCCACCGCCTTCATGCGGGCGAAGCTCAGCTCCTTGCGCCGCGAGCCCTTGGGCTCGAAGAGCTGCAGCCCCTTCTCTGTCAGCAGGCACCGCTTCTTCTTCCAGAGCTGCAGCAGCCCCCCGCTCCGCTTCTCCAGCACCCCCTCCCTCAGCACCTTCTCGGGGGTCATAGCGGCCCCTCGGCCCCCAGGATCCTCAGCACCTCGTGTGGGCTCAGCCAGGCATCACCCGCCGGGGGATTTCCAGCCCCTTCACGTCAGAGCTGAGCTTCCCGGGGCCGGGACCCCCACGGCGGCCGCGCTGCCCTCGGGGTTCTCCCTGCCCTGCGCTCCCGCCTCTCAGAGGGGGTGAGCGATGGGGTGCCCCATGCCGACCCCAGCCCTGTTGCTGGGGCTCTGCTCCCTGCCCTTTGCAGCGTGTGGGATCCGGCGCCGCGCACCCCAGGAGCTGTCGCTACATGCCCGGCCGCTCTCCCACTCGCATTCCTCCCGCCTCGCCTGGCCCCTCCTGCGCTCAGGCTCCCTTCACGCCCAGGCGAAGCCCGGCCAGGCCCCACTTCACCCGGGAGGTGCTTTTGGGGTGCCCGCAGGCAGGTGCTGCTCCAGGGTCCTTGTGTGAACAGGCAGGGTGTGGGATGGGTCTGCACGGCAGCAGTGCCAGGGCAGGGCTCAGGGACTTCTGCAGGGCAGCCCAGGCGTGGAGTGCAGTGCCAGATGTTGGGGGTGCAGCACCAGCTGCTGGGGGTGCAGCCCCACCGGCACAGGGCTATAGGGTGCAGTGCCAGTGGGCACAGTCGGCTGTGGGGTGCAGTACCAGCTGGGCAGGGGACCCTGCATAAAATGCCAGCCAGGAAGGGGTTACAGAGTGCAGTGCCATGAGGGCTGGGGGGCTGTGCAGTGCAGTGCCAGCAAAGAAGGCACAAGGGGGTGCAGCGCCAGGGCAAGGGGTTACGGGGTGCAGTGCCAGCAGGGGCAGGGGGCTATGGGGTTCAGTGCCGGCCAGAGCATGGGGTTATGAGCTGCATTGCCAGCCAGGGCAGGGGGTTATGTGGTGTCGTGCCAACTGCAACAGAGGCCTGTGGGTGCAGCACCAGCCAGGCAGGAGCTGTGGGGACCACTGAGTGCAGTCCAAGAGGGGAGTCAAAAGCAGAGAGCAGACAGTAGCAATGGGAACAACCCTTGACACCCACCACCCACCCAGCCACACACCCAGGGGTGCTGGGCCACCCCTCAGCACACAGAGCTCCCATGCCCCAAATCTGCTGGGACAGGGATTTGAAGTCCCCAGGCTGTCCCACAGCAAGGAGCAGCATCCCCCAGCCTCGTGTGACCTGTGCAGGGGGGATGAGCCGTCGGAGCGGGGCCGGGGCAGCACAGCACAGCCCAGTCCCGCCTGAGTCCTCCCTCCCCTGCAGCGAAACACCAGTCTCCTTTCCAGCCCGTCTCGTTCCCGGCCACTGCAGCTCCGTGTGTTCCCGTGCCAGCACCTGGCACCGAGGGGTTCATGGTGCCGTGCCGGGCTGCCAGGGGGACACCTGGGGACTTGTGCTGGCTGTGGGCTACTGGACAGGGCGACGGTCACAGCCTGCTGGGCTACTGGATGTGCCCTCACAGATGTTGAGGGTGTGGTTCCTTCACCCAGGTGAGGTCTGGAATGGGAAAAAGTTCCCCCGGAGATGTGCCAGGGTCATCGACTGGGGCTGGAGGCCACCAATCAGCCCATGGCTCCTTGGCACGCAGCCACCACCCCAGCACCCACCTCCTGGATCACCCTGCCCGTGCCCCTGCAGATCACAACCCCACGGAGCCCCCGGCTGGAGCCCCTCTTCCCCCAGTCCCTCCATCCTTCCTTCCCGGTCCCTCCCGGGGGCTTTGCTTGCAGCTGCTGTGGCCAGGGGGCAAGTCTGCAGCGGTGATGAGATGCACCTCATTATCCCTCATTAAGAGGGCAGGGCGGCTGTCGGAGCCAGGAACTGGTTCGTGCTCCCTGGGGCCAACCTCACCACGCTGGCAGAGATCCCGGGTGTCCCAGGAGACCTGGGTTCCTGACGTCAGGCGGCCCCGGCTCCCCTGCGGCCCTCACCACCCCCCCAGCCGGGGAGCCAGTGCCTCCCCAAAGGTCACCTGAGCCACCCCAGCACCTCCAGGAGGAGCAGATGTGTGGGTTCCCTTCCACAGGCTGTTTTCCCACGCACAGGTAAAGCTCAGCTCTGGGGATGCTGAGCCCTGGAAGCTTGGGGGTGAGTAGTTTTGGGACGGTTGCTCCCAGTGCTGCTCTGGTAAGCTGGGATGGCTGTGGGCAGTTTTGGCTCAGCATCCAGCTCAAGCTCCATCCTCACAGCACAAGGGAGAGCCAAGGGCTGCCAAACCCTCTGCCCAAGATGCCAGCTCTGCTGCTTGCTGTGCTCTCTGCCTTTCTGGACTCCAGACACCAAGGGAAGGTGATGGGCCCACAGCTGTGGGTGTGAAGGAGCTTTGACAAGGTCCTTCCCACTCCCCTCTCCCTGTCTGTCTGTTCCCAGATCCACAGGGCAGGAGGCCCATCCTGCTGGGCTGCCTGGGGGGTGACCCTGCAGCTCCTGCTCTCCAGCAAAGCCAACAGGACTCGCTGTGCCAGGATGCTCCGTGGGCCGCCCATGGTCCCCACGCTCATCCCATCCACACACAGCCCTCAGGGCAGGTAATGGGGTTCAGTCCTGCCCTGAGGTGACATCCCCACAAAGCACAGTGGCAGTGTGACATCCCCTGCCACAAGGGCCACTGGCCATGGGGCTCAGAGGCTCCAGTCTGACCCTTTAAGTGGTGTCATCACCACCAGGCTCCAGGGTCCTTGGCCACGAGCCGACCCTCTGGTTCATCTCTTCAGGGGCAGGTTTGGGTCCCACAGCCCCTTTCCAAGGCTGGCAGGCCCCCGAGGGGTGCGAACTGTTGGACACAGGGTGGGTCTGCTGCCTCTAAAGGGAGTTGGACACCCCCAGGGCCGGGGCCCTGCCATGCTCAGTGACCAGCAGATGGTCGGAGCTGTCCTGCTGCAGGGCAGGGGATGTCCAAAACCCACATCTAATCTCTCCCAGCCTGTCTCCAGAGCAGAGGGGCTCCCACTCCTCCCCTCTCTGACAGAACTTCTACAGCTACGGGCAGAAGGGACTAAAGACTGACTTGTTGTGGTTTTATTGACTAACCAGCATTGCTTGAGCATGATCCAGTCTGTGGCACATCCAGCTGACATGCTGCAGCAGCTCAACATCTCCCATATGCTCCTGGAAAAGGCAGCAGCTTCCTGACCCCCCTCACGCCTCCATGGGGAAGCAGGGCCTCTGCCAAGTGAAGGAACCAGGTTTCTGTCTCCACACTGAGGGTGGTACATGAGCCCTCTGTGCTGCAGCTCCCGACCCCACCACATCCCTGCACCTGGGCTGCTGCTCCACATGTCAAATGCCACCATCAAACCCAACCACACACCCCAGAGCAAAGGGACCTACAAGATTCTGGGTCCCAGGTTGGGAAACCTGGAGGGGGGAGGGATTTTTGGAGGTGTTAAAGAGCTTACTCCCCATCTCAGCTTCAAAAGCACCATGGGTGTTCAAAAACATGAGCGTGCGATGAACAGCTGAAAGTGCTTGAGTTGATAAAGGAGCCCAGGTCCTGCCCCACCAAAGGATTTCTACCTCTGTTGTGCTTCTCAGAACACTACCCATCTCATTTGCTCAACCACAATGTCTATAACTTTTAAAAACCCCAGAACTAAATTCCCTGTGGAGTTCCTGATTCTGAGCTGCACTGAAGCTGAGCTGTGGGTATGTCACACCGGTCCAACAAGAGAATCACAGAAAGGGAGTAAAGAGTTTAGATGAAAACGAATTAAACCTGGGCAGCTGCCAAACTGGAGGCTTAATGATCCTCAAGCTGCTAAAAATCCAGGGAGTAGGTGAAAAGCTGTTAATTATTTGGCACTGCTGGGTACGCCTGTTTGGAGAGGTGCCACCTAAAAGCACTGATAGGGTTTTGATAGGGTGAGCACACATGTTGTGCTACTGACACACCCCAGAAAGGCTGTCCTGGGCCTCCCAGCATCAACCACTGCTTTTGGAATAGTTATCCCCATCCCTGGAAGTGTTGAAGGTCAGGCTGGACAGGGTTTGGAGCAACCTGGTCTAGTGGAAGGTGTCCCTGCCCATGGCAGGGGTTGGAACAAGACAGGCTTTAATGTCTCCTCCAATCCAAACCGTTCTGTGATGATCCATAGTGGGAGCAGGGGGAGAGCCCAGCTAAGCCGACCTGCAGAACTCAGCACTGATACATTCCTGCCAAACCACAAGTGCCAACACTTCCTCTCCTCCCTTCACCTCCTGACCTCCAGCCCTGGGCACCCAGTGCACCTCCTCAGCCCCAGAGAGGAAATAAATTCTCTGGCAAGGTCAGGCCTGGGTCGGCTTTGATGTTTTGGATGTTTATTGCTTGCTTGGTGACGCGGCACAGCGCAGCTGAGCACTCATCCCGGCAGGACGAGCTCTCATCCTGGGATGGGACACACGGAGCAGAACGTTTTGGGCACAAGGGCCTCGCTGAGGTGGGGGTGAGCAGCCCCCAGACCAGCACCTGCCCCAGCAGGACCCGGTGGGGACAGTGCTGGGACTGCCCTGGCTCCAGGGTGTGCTGGGTCAGGGCGGGCAGGGAGAGGCTCGTGCTGCGAAGCAGCGGGTGGCTCTGGATGACGGTGAGGATGCTCACGGCGGGCGTGGGAAGGGTCGGGCAGCACAGGCTGGTTTGGACAAGCCCTGAGCGAGCACAGAGCCCGGCTCCTGGTGCCTCACTGCGAGTGGACGAGCGCCCCGGCGCCCTGCCCGAAGCCAAAGCCCTTGGGACCGAAGTTCTTGGCGTAACAACCTGCAGAGGACGGAAGGAAGAGACAGGTAAGGCTGGCACATGAGCAGGTCCTCCTCCCGGAGCAGGCACTGCCTAAACAGGACAGGGTTTGCCGTATTTGTTGGGCAAACAGGGAGGCCACAGGCCCAGCAGGAAATTCCCTGACTCCATGGCCAGTCAGCACAGCCAGTCCCCATATGCAGCTGCCAGGGCCACAACCTCCCCAACTTCCACCCCATCCTGGGTCCCTGCACATCCCTGGTCCCTGCCACAACCTCCCTGCAACTTCCACCCCATCCAGGGTCCCTGGGCCCCTGCCACTGCCCTTCAGAGCCCAGGACAAGCCAACAAAAAAAGGTGGGACTCACCTTTACAGTAGATCTCCCCATCTTTGTCTGCCAGGGTGGTGGACTCCAGGCTTTTGCCACATTTGGCACAGCGGAAGCAGGACTTGTGCCAGGACTGTGGGACAGGAGCAGAGCCTGGTCAGACAACACCCAGGGACAGGGCAGCAGGCTTTGGCTACCAATGGGCTCACTTCTCTATTTCTGACCCAAAGTTGCTGGCAAAGAGCTCTCAATGGGACAAAAGCTTTTCTCTGGAAAGCTCTGACCTCCCAGCCCCAGTGGGAAGATACAGAGAGGAAAACACCAGGGTCACTGCTCCCGTGTTGATCTGGTTTTGGAGACCTTTTGCCCCCACTCACAGAAGTAATTTGTACAATAATTTGTACAATAATTTTTAAGGAGCAATCCCCCCCCTTTGGGGATTGTCCTCCTCAACCAGCATGATAATTCCCCCCCCCAGTTATCCAGCTGAGACCCGTGGCTGCTGGACGTTAGCCTGGGGGTGGCA